AGCTCGTTGCAGCTCTCTCAATTTGCGGTAAAGGAGCCAATTGGGGGTTTGTTTTCACCCGTGCGAGCCCTCCTTCGGTTGCGATTCAGGACAGTCCAGAGATCGGATTCCTCCTCGCCTCGGCCGGCATTATCCGGCCGCACTTGACACATTGGACTAGGGGCGTGTGAAGACGGGGTTGTGAGGGGCACTTTCACGACCCTCGCGGTGGTACGAACTGCCCGCGAGGTGTGAGGGCCTCCGCATAATGATCGGGATCGCCTCTGCTGGTGGTGATCGGGACCACCATGCCCAGCATTTTTGCTTGGGTTTGCCTGCATCGTGGCATGGGACAGCTCGGGGACACTCTTTCGCCAAGTCTCAGCTTTGCTGATACCCTGCTAGGGGCACCTTTGGTATTCGCCGGCCCTTGGGAGCCCGTAGGCTTATTTTTTGCCACTTGTTTACCCTTGCGCTTACGCGCTGCAGTGCTCGCGGCACGGGCTATCGCCCTTTGCCACGCTTTTGCGCGACCTGCAGGCGTTTTTGGCGGTTGTACGGCTCCGGCTGTCGTAGATGACATGCCTTGGTCCAGACGGTCCAACCTCTGGTTGACTGTCTGGAGAGTATTATCGAACCTCTCCAGGTAACTTCTGATGGCAGGGTCCAGTTGCGGGGCTGCTGGGGTATTCCCAGCAGCATTTTGCGAAATTAGAGGTATGTTGGAAGGGGTGTCCCTCTGGGCCAGGGGGACTCCTTCTGCATGCTGGTTCCCCTGCTCAGGTTCAGATTGGCGGGCCATTGTAGCTGTAAGACCAGTAGGTCAAAGATTCTCCTGCTGAAGGGTAGACACTAAATCAGGGCCCTCCTTCTAGCGCCAACTGTTGATGCTAAGTTTAAGCACCAACGAATTTTTACGTGTGTAACGCTGATTGGCTGTTCAAAATACATGAAAATGAAATATATAAAGCGAAATAAATGTAAAGGGAGTTTTTTAAGTGGTTCGGATGCTAAGGTAGCAAGTCCTACGTCCACTGACTTGTATTGATGTTCGAGTGGGTCAGGTCGCGGTTGCGGGCTGACTTACATAAGTTAAAAAAAAGTAACAAATGATTACAGGAGAGAGAGAGTTCTTTTGTATGAGAAACAGCCGAATCGCCTTAATGAAGGGGTCTTCCTCATTTTATACTGAACTGAAGCGTATAATCATCACTAAATCCATGGTTTGGTGTGATTGTCAGGATGTAATCCGGCTTTACGTCTCATTTTCCTTTTCCCAAGCTGACAACGCACGACTTATTGCAGGGAAATGGACATGTGTGAGCTCCATATCACTTGGCAGGTCTGACGTGTGCGCGTTGCTCTGACGGGAGCAGGTCACCCTTCACGTGACTTTCCCACGTCAGCCCTTTATTTTCCTGGGCATAACATACTTCTTATGCTTTAGATAAACATGAATTATAGATAATTTTAAAATTATTAAGATGCAGCCTGAAAATTGGAAATAATATTTTAAAAGTGCTTTTCAGACTCAAAATAAATGGATGAAAACATAAACAGTCTTTAAATTTTGCGTTGAATTCTAGTATTATAGCAAAATGTTTGACAATTCTCTTTTCTTCTGTTAATAGTATCTAAATACCAAACCCTTTTATTAATATTCCACGCATTAATTCAAAACAATATGCATATTGTCACATTGAATAATACTACACATACATTATTTTTATACAACATTTCCTATACAACATTATGTGGTAAGATATGATTGGGTGAACGTTTAATTTTAACTTTAAATCAGTTAATCATATCTTGCCACATAATGTTGTATGGGAAATGTTGTATGAAAATGATGTATGTATAGTATTACTCTTGTCACATTACACTATCAATTTATTTAAGTTATATTCTTGTTTTCATCCATCAATTTATTAAGCATTGTTAGAGGCCATAACTTTTAATAATTTTTAAATGATTTATAAAAATAATGTGGAATAAAAAAGAAATTGTTTTAAGTAGGTAAAGTGATCAAAGGGATAAACAGACTTTTGAATTACAATTGAATGGAACCCTAGCATATCCAGGGGTGTTTTTAATACTTTTTGAATACTAATTAGCATGCATATATATATATATATATATATATATATATATATATATATATTCATATTCTTTTAACGTTAACTTTTAACGTTTAGAAATTAAAAAATGGGTCTCAAACGCGGGTATTAATGTTCTCATTCATGATACTTAGGGTGCAAAAATGTAATTAATCTGAAAGTTAAATAAACCTTATTACATTTGACATCGATGCATGCGTAATGAGATATATATATATTAATATATATATATATATATATTATATATATATATATATATTCTTTGAACGTAACTTTTAACGTTTAGAAATTAAAAAAAGGGTCTCAAACCGGGGTATTAATGTTCTCATTCATGATACTTGGGTGCAAAAATGAATTAACTTTGAAAGTTAAATAAACATTATTACATTTGACATCGATGCATGCGTAATAGTTAAGAAACAAGCAAAATATTATATGGAGATTAAGTTAAGGAGAAACCAAACAAAAAATATCTAATAATAATATACTATAAATAACATTAAAAAAATAATAATAATAAGGATCATATTATGCAACTCTTTACAATAGTATTATTTAGGGGTATAACAAAGATATCGTATCTCAACTAACGTCACAGCTTTGATCTTCAAATATTGTGAAAGATAGTTGTGCCAAGAAGCTTGTTGAAGGCAAAAGAAAATAGTTAATTAAGTAAATATTATTAATTCTTTTTAAGAAGTAAAATTAGAGCAAACACATGCTAATACATATAACAAATTAAAATAATTATGATCAACACAACTCTTTAGACGTAATATGATGTATGTTCAAAGTAAAAAGAAATGAATGATTGAAAGAAATTAAAGGAATGTACCTAAACTAATGGATATGCAGCTTCAATCTCCAAATATATTATGAAAATGGATTGATGGCAACAAAGGTAATTGTTTTGGAGAGAGTTATTGTAGAAAGGTATCAGTGTTTGGTAGAGATGGCAATGGGCCCGACATTTTCGGGTACCGGCCGGCCGACCCGAAAGGGGCGGGCTTTACCCGAGGTGGCGGGCTTGGGCTTGGGCCTGGGCTTGATTTTAAGCCCCGACCTCGGGTACGGGCGGGCATGGGTATATCTTAGGCCCGGCCCGGCCCGGCCCGTCTCGAAAATTTTAGTATTAATTTTACTAATTTACCCTTATACTATTATTTAATTACAATATTATCCTCTATATATATTATATATATTCATTTTCCCAAACCCTAACCTCAATTTTCATCCCATATTAAAGGTTAACATGTTAAAATTGCCTTTAAATGAGTTAGATGGGTTTAGTTCAACTTATTAAAGGATTTCACCATAACAATTATGCACAGCTGAAAAGTTAGTATAATCAACTATTATAGAGTTTAATTGTCACTATTGCTTAAATATTTGTGGAAATAACTTACAAATTCTATTTAAAAACCATTTCTAAAATTAAAAATATAAAAAAATTTGAAATTTATTAATATTTAAAAATAAACATTATTAAAAAAGGCGGGCTTGGGCCGGGCCTGCGGTTATAAAAAACCCGTCAGGCCGGGCTTGGGCTTTGCCTATCATACCCGTAACGGGCTCGGGCCGGGCTTGGGCCTGTGTCATGAGGTCGGGCTTGGGCCTGGGCCAAGGGGTACCCGGCCCAGGCCCGGCCCATTGCCATCACTAGTGTTTGGAAATACAAGGAAAACCAAATAAAATAGTAGGAGCATAACAAAAAGAAATAGAATTCTATGAAGAATAACTGAAGAAAGGTATGAAATGGAACATGCTTCGTAATCAAGAAAAGAAAGGAATGTTTATTCAAGTAAAATTCTAAACTTGAGGTTAAAGGAATCTGATTTTTCCAACTTTTCTGTTTTATTTTCAATCAAAATAAATGTTAGATATCTTGTACATATTTCTTATGCTTTACATAAACAAGAATTACAAATAATTTTTAAAATATTATGATGCAGCCTGAAAATTTGAAATAATATTAAAAAATTCTTTTCAGAGTTAAAACATAAATATTCTTTAGATTTTAATTTTTATTAGTGTTTTTAAACCCGGCCCAACTCAACTCCACCAATTTAACCAGAACCTGAGACCTTCACTGAGCTGGGTTACCAATTTCGACTATTCATGGCAAACCCTAGAGAGGAGGACGATGATAGCGAGCAATTGGTGGTGGGAATGTTAGAAGATTTCGAAGAGGAAGGGCCTTTAAGTTAAAAGATGGCAACAGAAGTGATTTCAGTGAGTGAAACAACTAGAAATCGCAAAAATCGTGCAACGGCAACAACCCACCTATTGCCAACGATTGGCGAGGCAAACGGGGGTGAGGTTAAATGAGTTTTGGTTAGGAGGCTATAAAGAGTGCTTTCGTGGTGATGGAGACTAGTTGAAGAGTGTTGTTGACACCGATGGTGGTGTTTTTACTCAAATCACAAGGGTCCTTTTGTTAGATTTTAAAACTACAGGACCTAATGAGCATTTATTAAGGGTGTTTTTGCTAGATATCAACCTTGTTGGATTGACGGGTAAACCAGCCTAACCAGGTCATTGATTGGTTTGGGTTTGAAAACACTGCTTTTTACATTGAATTCTAGGACTATAGCAAAATGATTTTATTGAAAATTTTTAACCAAACATGCTTGATAAATTTCTTTTCTTCTGTTAATAGTAACTAAATTCCAAACCCTTTCATTAAGATTTCACATATCTTTTCAAAAGAATATGCATATTGTCATAATATTCTATCAATTTATAAAGGTTATATACCTGTTTTCATCCACCAATTTATTAAGCATTGTCAGAGATCATCACGCAGCCATCGAACTATCATCGTGTATTATTGAAAACTGTGTATGTTTGCATTGGACTAACTATAAGCCCCAACAAGAATGTACCAAAAGACAAGCCCTAGCCGCTAAAACAAATCATACTTCAGTGAAAAACAAAAGCAGCTCTATTTCTGAGAAAAATCCAAGAACACATACTTGACTCGACCATTAATTGATAATTACTTGACAGCTAGTCTCTTTTTTGATGCTGTTGTCTTCCACGAATGAGTACAAAGCCAAAAGATGCCACCATTCCGATCAGATACCCTACCATGGCTCCATAACTCACACAAATCGGCCATTCCTGTGAATTGGAAATGAGACCATTCAAGACTAAATAGAAAGCAAGCAGCTCAAACAACACATTCATCAAGGAACCACAATCCAGCTTTAAAACCAGCCAAGTTGAGCAAATGCTTGACAGATATAAACATCATAAGATATATCATCCGAAATGCTTATCCCTATATTATACATAAGCCAGAAGAAGCACAACCAGACAGTCAGAATTAAAATAAATAAATAAATCTTCACCAATTATTTATTAATTTATAAGGGTTGGTAACAAACTGATAGAACACCATGCCTAGACATGAAGTCAGCAGACTTGGTTTGGGGTTCACATAAGCCCTAAAATGTTCAAGATGCAATTTATCAATCTTAATGACCATATAACCGATGAAGTGCCACCGAGTTAATAATAAAGAACCTCCAAGCAGTCAGCTAAAAATTACTGCATGGAGCATCAAATTTCGCGACAAAACTATACACATAACCTAAGAGAGAACCAAAAAAGAAGAGACAATGCAATACAATAATTTCAAGTTGAACTTCTCTATCAAAATTTCAAGCAAATTGTGCCCAAACAGCTCACAGAAGAAAATACAATTCAGATTTAAATTGGAACAAGTTGAAAGCAAGAGTTAGATTCATGATATGCCATGATCCGCAATAAATGAGCACATAAGTTTATATATAACATGTCTGTTTTATAAGAAATTATAGAGAAATAAGATATGAAATTTACAAACTGCTTTCCGTTTTAACCCATTATATGAAGTAAACCGGGGAAATAACAACTTACCTGCCATGGCCTTTCCCAATCAAGGGGCATTGGCCAAGCGCCAAACCAAGCTCCAATAACAGCTCCATGCGCTGGTAGACAAATCATATAATCTACAGATCCATTAGGCCTAAAGAGTAAATAGATTCAAATTTCACATCAGCAAAAACAATTTGTACCAACACTCAATTCACTGATTTCATTGAGTACATTCTTTTATTGAGCTTCATTAAGTTTAAGAAAAATACAATAAAGTTCTTCATCCAAAAAAGCATGAGAGAAAACAGAAACAAGGCTAAAACAAAACACAAATCCTATTACTGTCAATGTGTACTTCTCTTGTCAGTTTAATGGACGTCTATGGAAACACACTCCAATCAATGGTTGAGGCCAACATGCAGACTCCATGAATAAAATTGAGGAAGCTCAATTATGATTTCACCCCAAGATTTGGTACAACACATCACAACATTGTATACATCCTAAATCTAGTAATTATTGTGCAATTATATGTCCTTGTCAATAAATGAAACATATACTACATGAATTAATGCCTAAATACTGAGAATAAACCACAAAAAAATGTGAGAAGGCTTACTTTGTATGTGCGAATATACGTTGCCAATCTTCCCACAATGAACCATATACCAAAGCAGCAGGCACAAACTGCCAGTACACAAGATAAACATTCAGTAATACATAATAGGATAACACATATGAAGTCTGGCAAAACTCAAATGCAGCAAACTTTTTTGCGCATATATATATATGAGAGTGATAATAATATAAAAGAAATTGAATGAAAACTTCTTTCACAGAACATTTGTGACATTTTATATCCGCAATGTATGTGTAGCATTATATACAGGACATGAGGTTTAACTCAACAGACTTCCAACTATAATTTCTTAGTTATAGTACAGCAGGAAACATTGAAAGAAGTTATGTACTTACAGTGAACAATGACATTAAAAGAGAATAATCAAAGGTATTTGTCATATAACTGTATCCAATAAGAAAGAGACATGATCAATTCACATTTTGTAAAAAAACTTAATTTTATTAAAACAAATAAACATTCGTCTACAAGTTATTTACTGTTATATACGTTTAATCCAAAATTATCTTGACAAATTCTCCACAATTTTGAAAAGAAAGTCACAGTTGAGATTTGGACAGGTAAAACAAATTTTTGAAATGAATTCCCCACCCAACTTTATCCATTATATTAAAGTTTTACATTTTATTTTGGGATAAAAGCAAAATTCATAAAGTTTTAAAAGGAAACAGGAAAGCCACCTGTAGAAAATGTAGGGGCTTTGTGTACCTGACAGTGAAGAAAGGTGTTGTCTAAGGAACTATGAGTGAACCCATTTTGACCTCAACTGTGACTTCTGTTTCCATAATAACAGTAAAAGGCACAAATTTTTATCTACCCTCATTTCACATACTGAATGCCCACAGGTGCACCCAAAGCAATAGCTCCTAAAGCATTTAAAAGAGCCCCTACAAAGTAGAAGATGGATCAGTAATTTTATATTATGCAGAAAAAAAAAAGGAACAGAAACCCTTGCATAAAAATAAAGACATACACGAGATGTTAAACAAAACATTTATGATCTTTTTGTTTTACCAAGCGTTGTTACAAGGTAGTGCTTCTCTAAACCAAGCTATATTTCTCTAAACGCTGACACAAGACTGTTACAGTATAATCCAAAGCTAGACACATGACTTGGAGATCACTCATTGTAACTGGAAAAAGTTTCTTTAAGGACCCATTTATAACCATTGCCTTCCATCTTCAGATTGGATGGAAAAAGGGATACACGCATGCCACAAATTTGCTTATAAGCAGGTAAAAACTTCATCAGTTAACTACAAAAACAAAATTATTGAAGCTTACAAAAGTAAAGCATATAACAAAAACATTTCCAATAGAAGTACATTGAACCTACAAAGACTATGAATCTTCATCAAGCCACATTTAAATGCTCCACAAAAATTTATTATTTAGACTGTATAACAAACTAATCCAACAATCTTCAAAATCAAATACACATCATTACAAACCAAGGAAATAAAACTAATATTAATATGGAAAAAAGATATTGTTTATTAAAACATTTGTATCTGTACAGATACAAAATCCACAAATAGAAACTATACTAAATAAAACGAGTGAAACAGTATTTAGAAAAGTAAAAAAAAAAAAAAAATGAACAAGACAGAATAAAAAGGAGCAACATGAATATCAGACTAACCAACAGGGAGTCCCAGTAGGCCTCGTACCACAGCTTTGAAATACTGTTACAAAAATATAAAGGAAATAAATAAAAAGCACATTAAAAATAAATATCAAATAACCTTAGGTCTTCACCAATATCAGTGAGTGGATGGGATGAATTTTTATGTAAATCATCACACATTGCATGAAACATCATATTTGTAACATTATTGCCAAATTTGAAGTGAAATATGACTTGTAATATTATAAGTATAAAATGTTCCATAAACAGCTCTAATGCTAGACCAAAATCACAGTGAAGTTACCGTAATAATTTCTTTCAGATAACATATGACATACACTTGTTACATGGATCAGTTAAATAGCCGGCTTTTTTACACACCTTTTAATTTTTTTAAAAGAATCGCAGCCCTTGGATCAAGAATCCAAGAGCTTAGCCACAGTAACAAAGTTACCGCCCAAAAACACTATAAGGTTACCAGCAAACATTAGCAAGCATTTCTTTTTACAAGTTGCTTACAAGTTGCAAATAAAACAGGCCATATTAACCATAAAGTTTCTTTAATTGCAATTATGCACTTATATAAAAACAAATCCAATGGTCAATATCATCCCCATAACATTACAAGGCAAGTACTCTAGCAAACTGTATTTCAGTAACATTACCATAAACTTCCATATACATATAAGTATAAACAAGCATTGCTCTTTTATTGCCACATCGTTTGCGCACATAAAATAAAATAATTTTTTTTCCTTGTACTCTTCCCTACACATTAAGTATAGCTCAAATAAAAAAGTTGAAGTGTAACGTTTTTCACATAAAAAAAAAAATCCCAAAAACGAGCAAATAAAATAATTAACAAAAATAATGTGAATTACCGAGGATTTGTCGGGATTTTTCCGAAAATAGCTGTAAAGAAGAATAACAATTGGGCTCTTGATAACCTAAATTACAGTGTTGAAACAAAATTAATGAGTAACCAAGATTATAAATTTGATGGAAAAAAGTGAAAGAAAACAAGTGTACAGTACCCAGATCAGACGGAGAGTGCCCGAAGGATGAGAGACGAGATTGATGGAATAGATGTTGTGGGCTACCCAGTATCCAACGCCTAAGCCAACTCCACAAATCAGGTGGACTAAAAATGTTTGTAGAGGAGACACCGAATGGGATGAAGAAGAAGAAGGGGAAGTTTCAGTGGCTGACGGCTTCACCATTTTTGCGTTTTTCGGAATTTCAGAGTGAAGTTGTAAGGTTTATATATATTGGGCTAAGTTGGGCTCAGCATGACTCGAATTAATTGTATAGTAAACAGAAAAGTCCACTAATTTCTTTTTCTTTCTAAATATGTAGCATTTCTGTTTTTCAATACTTTATGCTAAATTTAATGTTAACCAACAACCTTTTATCATTTTTAATGTATTTTCAAATTTATATCTCTTGTTACTGAGTTTTTTAAAAGTGGTCCGCCAGTTGATAATTAACCTTACAAAATTAAATAAACAAAAGACATAAGTCAAAGAATTAGAAGATCAGATTAATATAACTATTATCGAAAAAAGAGACTATTGCAGATAGCTAATGCAAGACTTCCCATTAATTTTATAATTGAGATCAGGTATTAATTTGGAAGATTTCTTTCGAAAATGGATCGTTTTATCAATGCATAGTTTTTTTTTTTTTCAACAATAATGCTATTATAATATGTCAAGTTTTCGTAATAGAATGTATTAATATCGATTTTATTCATGTCAGTATTCAGATAAATCAGAAATTTCTTAGATTTCTTTTAATTCTTTTGAGGACCCATTTTACTTCAAGTTTAATTGATGATCATTTTCTTTCATCTAGTTTAGAAGAATGATGAGCTTGGAAATAGTTTGTCCTTGAAATCAATAGCTTCTTTCTTTTGCTAAAATAGAAACTTAAAGACAACTTATAAAATGAGCAAACAAACATCAATAGAAGCCTATAGGGCTACTTGTCAATGTGATCCCTCTAATGTTCAAGTAAATAGAGTTTATAAAAATATTGGTCTCACCTTATAAGACTCGTTACATGTCTAAGTTTTGGAATTTGATACTTATTATGAAAAGTCATTTATATAACGTCCTGTCCTGTGGTACTAAATGAAATTGTTGATCCTATATCAGAGATGATCATATATTTAAAAAATCAAAAATCAAAATTTAAAACTAAAAATAAAAATTAGAGCTCTTTCCAAACATAATGTAAGCAAATTCAGCATCAAGAACTTTAAGTATAACATAAGAGACAAACCAAATATTCTAAGACTACAAATGATTATATATTATAAGAAAATGTTTGTCATTACCTGGACATAAGATTCTTTCTTGGGTTGGAATGGCAAACAACCAAAGAAATGAGTTAAAAAATAAAAATTAAAGCATTTATCACATGTTTAATTCCTCGTAATTAATTCATGAGGTGAAGGAGTGAAGGTAGCTCTTTTATTAGGTAAATGTTGTGTAGTGTTTTGACTAGAATTAGTATTTAGTCACATGCATTTTCATTCATAAAATAGTAAAATACATATATCTATCCATTTAAAATTCCAAATTTGCATAAAAAATAATAATATATATATATATATATCAATTAATTAGGCAAAAAATTAAACAAATGTATATAACATAATTTTATTAGAATGATAAAAAAATATTTAGATATACATATAACATTAATTATACAATATCGTTCACAATCAAATACTTTTTCAAGATTTGAATATGAATCCCATTCTTGTCGACTCTTACCATCAAACTTAACTAGCTACTATTACACAAATGGCCTCATACACAACCCTATTATCACTAGACCTGGCAAACGGGCGGGTGTACCCGCAGGTCAACAGGTACCCGTACCCAACAGGCGGGTATGGGTAACTCATACTTTGACCCGTGAGAATCTGACCCGTACTCGGCCCGCCTGTGACTTTTGCGGATGGACTAAGTACTACTCGCGGGTACCCGTGGACCCGCAAATTTGAAATTAAAAAAAAAAATTAAATAAAAAACTTTTCACTCAAACCCTAATCTAAACCAAAACTTATCACTATCAGTGAAAAAAAACAAAAAAGCAGCCGCTCATTCTCTCACACACAGGCCACAGCAGCTCCACGACAGCTCATTCACGCACGACCATTCCTCTCACAGTAGCTCCAGCCATGACCACTCCTCTCACAGCAGCTCCACCTCCACTCCCTCACTTTCTCACTCTCATAGCAGCTCATTCACGCACGACCATTCCTCTCACAACAGCTCATTCACGCACGACCATTCCTCTCACAGTAGCTCCAGCCACGACCACTCCTCTCACAGCAGCTCCACCTTCACTCCCTCACTTTCTCACTCTCACAGCAGCTCCACGGCAGCTCATTCACGCACGACCATTCCTCTCACAGCAGCTCCAGCCACGACCACTCCTCTCACAGCAGCTCCACCTCTACTCCCTCACTTTCTCACTCTCACAGCAGCTCATTCACGCACGACCATTCCTCTCACAGCAGCTCCAGCCACGACCACTCCTCTCATAGCAGCTCCACCTCCACTCCCTCACTTTCTCACTCTCACAGTAGCTCCACAGCAGCTCATTCACGGCAGGCGGCAGCTCATTCTCTCATAGCAGGCGATAGCTCATTCTCTCACGACAACACAACTCCTTCTCTCACGACAACACAACTCCTTCTCTCACGACAGCAGCATATCTCTTGTCTCACAACAGTAGCAGATCTCTTTTGTCACAGCAGCAGCAGCATGGCAAGTAGGGTGTTTTTTAATAGATTTGTTATTAAACTTATAATTTTATAAAGCATGGAATCAGGGTGGAAGTTGCTATTAAATTAAAAAAAAAAAAAAAAAAAAAAAAAAAAAAAAAAAACACTCACACTAGCCATACCAAACTAAGCAGACTCTACTCCATCTTTGATTCTTCATTTCTTCGCACTTCGCTAGCACCCAAATCGCCACCCACAATGAGTTGACAATCCCACACCACTCCAGCATCCATTTCGCCAACACCCACTCACCCAGCATCACCATTCACCACAACAACCACCCACTCACCAGCGACGAGCCGACGACGACAGTCTATAGTTGTTGCGTTGTAGTTCACAACAACCCCTACTCACCTGCAGTCCACAACATCACCACAACAACCACCCACTCACCCACAAACCACAATCCACAGTCCACAGCTGCTGCTCTGCGGTGGATCTTTTCCTTGAACCAGGAACAGCGACGACGTCATGACAGTCGAGAGTCGACCACCACAGCTCCAGTTTCCACTATCGTTAAGATTTGCAATCCTCAGCTGCTCACCTGCTCCATAACTAGCATCTTCTAATTCAACAAGAGATCCGATAAATATTTAGACGTTTTATAGAACTATTTAGATTTTTTTTTTTTATTTACTTATTTAAGTTCATCTTTCTTTGTTTCGTGATTATATAAAAGTGAGTTTAGGAGAGTAATGGTGCGATTTGCATATTTGATAAGATAATGTGCTTGTAAGATGCATTTCATTTAATAAGTATGAAAACTTAAGGATGAGAACCAGCCCAAGTGGTTTTCCATGGAGAATTACTCGAACACTTAAAATATATCATTCAATAAACCAAGGAAAAGATCGAGAGACAAAAAATTGATGCTTTTCAAGGATTTTGCGTTGTGCTTGACTTTAAGGGCTTTGTAGCCTTTGTCCTAATATAAAATCCATATACCGCAGTAGATTATAACTTTCACATTATCTTTTTTATTCTTGGAAAGATGCCTAATAATACTATGACTGAAAAAATTTAGAGAATCAGATAAAGAAGTATTCTGCCTATGGTCCAAACTTTTGTTCCGATTTTTTTTTTTTTTTTTTAACAAAGAGAGGCTACGAATTTGTGTTGGATGGACCCATGAGTGACTATGTAGTATGGGGCATACATTATATTGAATTTGTGAATATGCATTAGTGCATTGAAACTGGTGGCCTTTTTGGTTTTAAATTGTGTAAATTGAATTGAATTTGTGTTGGACTTGGATGAACCCGTGACTATGTGTAAATTGGTGGCCTTATGTTTTATTATTAATTGATGAATGTCTTTATAATTTACATGTCCAAAATTTTCTCTTTTATTTTTAGTTATTGTCAATAAATAAAAGAATATTATTTATATGGATGTCTTATTTACTTAATGTATATTTTTATTTGATGGAATTGTAGATGTCATTGGCCGCTGACAATACTCGTGAGACACTGACAAGTACGACTCTAACTCTAACTCCAAATTTCATGCCACCACCAGCACCTTTAGCCCCCAAACGTGCAAAGGATACAAGTACTAGGAAGAATGGTTCTCAAATGTGGGATCACTTTGTTAAGAACGATTGTGAGAATAAGGATGATTTGACTGTGACATGTAGTTACTGTGGGAGTGTTCTAGCATGTCCGAGTAAGAGTGGTATGAGTTGTCTACGTAACCACTTAAATAGATGCAAAAATATCTTCCAAATGTGGCGGACAAGAGATAGAAGACCCTAATTTTTCAACAAGGATCATGTGATCTCTCAAGCAGCATTGCTCTCTCCGCACAATCTTCCTTGGTGTCATGGAAATATGATCCAGATTTAATTAGAGAGGTTATAGCAAAAATGATCATTGTTGATGAGTTACCTTTTAGTTTTGTGGAGCGTGAGGGGTTCCGCAACATGATGGATGTGACACAACTAGGTTTCAAGTACCTTGCCGGAGAACTGTAACTAAAGATTGCTTCAAAATGTATATTGGAAAGTGCCAAAAGATGAAGAAGTTTTTCAATAAGTGTTCGTACAGAGGTCGTCTGACGATTGATACATGGACAAGCATTCAAAACCTTAATTATGTGTGTCTTACTACGCATTTCATCGATGATCATTAGCAGCTACAGAAAAGAATTTTAAATTTATGTCCAATCACTAGTCATAAAGATATAATGATTGGCAAGACAGTTGAGAGATGTTTGCTTGATTGGGGTATTTATAAGGTATTCACAATCACAGTAGACAATGTTAGTTCTAATGATGTTGGGGTAAGCTATCTCAAGACTAGACTAGCAAGTTAGAAGGGAAGTGTATTGGATGGTGATTTTCTACAAATGAGATGTTGTACACATATTTTGAGTTTAATTGTGAAATAGTGGTTAAAGGATATGAATGACTCCATATTTAGAATACATTCAACAGTGAGGTATGTAAGGTCTTCTCCAGTAAGGTTACAAAGATTTAAGGGGTGTGTGGAGAAAGAAAAAACTGCAAGTAAAAGTCATTCGGTTCTTGATGTAGAAACCCGGTGGAACTCTATATACTTGATGTTGGAAGCGGCATTAAAATTTCAAAAAGCTTTTGAGTTGTTGGAATTGGAAGATAGTAAGTATGCATATGAGTTTACTAGTGGTGATAGGTCACGAGGTTTGCCTATGAGTACTGATTGAGAGTATGCTCACTACTTGTTACCTTTCTTGAAAGTATTTTACAATGTTACTCTATGTGTCTCTAGGTCTCTTTATGTTACTGGTAATGCATACATGCAAGAGATTTTCGGCTTTGGGTTGAAAATTTCAATATGGTGTAAAAGTCTTGATCTTGGCTTACGTAATATGGCTACACGGATGAAAGTGAAATTTGATAAGTATTGGTCAAATGTTGATAATATCAACATTATATTATTCATTGTAGAGGTACTGATCCTAGACACAAGTTAGAATATGTGGACTAGATAGTTAATGAGGCCTATGATGTTGTTGTAGTTGACAAGTTGATGAGAAAAGTGAAGGAAGCTTTATTGTCTTTATTTGAGCAATACATTTTGCTTATGGTGGATGATAATGAGCAGTCAAGTGAGAAATCTAAAGTTCCAATTGACATTGATGTGCATGATGCAAATGTTGGTAATGAGGACTTCATGAGGGTTATGTATAATGAGAAAAAGGATGCAAAGAAAGTTGTTCAGCATAAAACAGAGTTGGATAAGTATTTAGCAGACGATTGTGAGGATGACAACGACAAAACTTTTGATATCTTGAATTGGTGGAAGGCTAATTCAAAAAAAAATGTTGTTCTCTCTATGATAGCACGAGACGTATTGGCTATGCTTGTCTCAACGGTTGCATCTAAGTCAGCGTTTAGTACGAGGGGTTGTGTATTAGATCCATTTCGTAGCTCTTTTACTACTAAGAGGTAGAGACTCTTATATGTACACAAGATTGGATTAGGAATACGCGTGGACCATTGGCCATTGAGGAAAGCTTGGAGGAATTATCTAAAATTGATTCAGGTGACCTTTTTTGTTAACTTTTAATTATAATTATATATTTTCCATCATTATTTATGATTTTAGCTAACTTGTTTGTCCAACTTTGTGTAGAGTTTTTCTCTTCGGGAGTGGAAAGTAGTCTAACTAATCTTAATGATTAAAGGGTATTCCAAATTTCCAATAAATGAGGTATATCATCATTGCTGATTAAATGGTTTAGGGTTTGGTTGGTTATGTAGGTTAAATTTTTTGAACAATTGTTGTGTTTATTTGTTGTGAACTGATTTCAATAGTTGGTTATGTTCAAAAGTGGAAAGTAGTGTAACTCATCTTGATGATTGTTGTGTTTATTTGTTTAAAATTTTTTGTACTACTTTATGTAGTTAAAACTTAATGGGAATTTAGAAGGGAGACAAGCTCCATGCCTCCACCTGTTTTGCACCACCCTTTGCATTGATATTATTTTGTGGACCAACTTTTGCATTGATATTATTCGGTGGACCATATTTTGCATTGAATTTCTATTTTTGGAGAGTTGCTAACTATAAGTTTATTTATTGCACATGCAGATGGAGGCCTAGATATCCAAATTTTGAGGAAGACTCTTTTTATTCAGTAGCACTATAGTAGATTTAAGAAGTTTGGACTTTGGCTTTGGAGATCTGAATTTTGAAGAAGACTCTTTTTATTTGCAAATGTTTTTCAGTTTTTAATTATGCCAATGTTTTTATTAATGAGTATTGAGTAATGTGTAATTGAATTCTTTATGTTTTTATTTCATATTCTGGATTCAGTATCTACAAATAGGTAATTTAATATTTTTTTCACACAAAGAATACAACAATAATACACAAATAAAAGAGAAAAACAGCATGAAATTATTTATAAAATAATAAATATTTGAATTTAGGGACTTAAATGTAAAATTAAAGAATTTTAGGGGTGAATTTGAAAACCGGTTAATCGAACCGAATATTCGGTTCGGTTTACAATCGGTTTATAACTGAAACTGGTCCGATTTTGGTTTGTATTTTGTCTAAACCGAATAACTGGTTCGATTTTCGGTTTGCCCTATCCAGTTCGATTAACCGAATTATCCCACCCCTACCAAGTAGAACTCAGAGTCCTATTAGGATTCAAACCCCTTGGGTTCACTATATAAACAGAGGCTGACCCTCTCATTATTCATTCAGAAATCACCCCTAAGCTCCAGCTCTCCTATTATCAAACTGCCTACTTTAGATTCCCAACATTGCTAAAGCTCCCCCCTAGTCGCAGGAATATCCTCCGCAAGTCCATCAAAGTTGTCAGTAGCTCACCTCACAAGATTCTGTCTTCAATTCAATTGTAAATTTTAGCGTTTACATTATCCAAATCAATATCCACTATAATTAATATTAGCAAATTCGATTCAATGAGTATATATAAATGTGTAATAATGAAAAAAATTATTATTATCAATTCTTTTATTCACTGTAGCTACAACAAATATGTCATAATATATTATATCAATCAAAACTATTACCAAGGCAATGTATAAAATAAAATACAAATAGCAATAAATCAAAATATTGAAATTAAAAAAAAAAAACAAAAAACATAATGTCAAAATCAAATTCATAACCAAATAAACATGATCCAAAAGATAAACATGTCGAAAACCAATTTCCCTTTTAACTAGTTGATAAATAATATTGGAACATTGTCTACCATTTAAAAATAATTGGTAAAATAAAAAATATTTACAGAAAAAGAAACTTTCAACTAAATCCTGATTTGAAAAACCCATGAGACTACGTAGTTTTTAAATGACTTGTTTTAAACTTGGCAATCACTTAACAAAAGGTCATAATAGGTATTTCCATGTAAAAGTATTAAATAATAAACATTTTGAATATATAGGAAAAATAAAACTACAGGTTCGACAAAAGCTAGGGACTTTTCGGTAAAGAGGAAAGAATATAAAATAATTATAAATTGATCACCATAAAAATAATATGTTTTGAAGGGGCTTCAAGTGTAAATATAATACAATAAAGCTACCTGCACTAATGAGAGTGTACAAATTCAGTACTAACTGATGTGGCTAATAGCCACGTCAGTTCCCTCCAAAGCCTTAAAAAAAAAAAAAAAAAAAAAAAAATTCAAAATGAATAAACTCTTTCAAACTAAAAACAGAAACCCGCCACTTGAAACGAAAAACAGAGACCCGCCACTGACTGGTAGTGTATCCTCTACCACCACCACCGTGGCCTGCAGTCTTCCACCACTAGCGTCGGCCGCCGTCGTCCACCACCAGCACCGACCATCATCTTCCGCCAACACCCGTCATTTTCATCTGCTGGATTTATAAAAAAATTGCTCTCAAAATAGAAACCCATAAGATTGAACCATCTTTTGCTTCATGGTATTATTTCTATAGTTTTAAAACATCATCTAAGAACAATATAGAAGCTTGAGAGTCATGATAAAATGCTATAAATAAAATGCTGTACTTGCTNAGCAGTGTATCCTCTACCACCACCACCATGGCCTACCGTATTCCACCACTAGCGTTGGCCGCCATCGTCCACCACCAGCGCTGACCATTATCTTCCGCCAGCACCCGTCATTTTCATCTGTTGAATTTATAAAAAAATTGCTCTCAAAATAGAAACCCATAAGATTGAACCATCTTTTGCTTCATGGTATTATTTCTATAGCTTTAAAACATCATCTAAGAACAATATAAGGAGCTTGAGAGTCATGATAAAATGCTATAAATAAAATGTTGTACTTGTTAACATCTGTTGCTTATGTTGTGGTTTGACAATTGTTGGACTATTTCATTGCAAAATAGTTTATTTGTCAATTTATTTCTTTTTATTGCAGGTTGTGCTTTTTTGAACTTGGTCTTGGTGTTGTATCAAAGTTCCAAAGATGGAAGAGTGTAGTGAAAAAAATCCATACAACTCTTCTCATTTCAATGTTGTGGAGGTAATATTTTGTTGGTAATATCTTTTTATTCATTAATATGATTTTAAATTTTTTATGGTATTGTTCCTATCCTTTTTGTTGTATTATTATATTTTAATTATGACTATTATAATATCAATAAATTAGGATAATCATTTTGAAGAAATGGAAGATACAAGAAGTGCAGACGAGGAATGGGAGCCTAAGCCTGGAATGATTTTTGATTCGCTTGATAATCTTGTCCAACACTACAAAAGCTATGGGAATAAAATGGGTTTCGAAGTTATTATACGATCTTCAAAGAAAGGATATGATGGAGAGGTGACAAATGCGACACTAGCTTGTTCTTATATTGAGAAGTCGCGCAGTAACCCCATAAATGCTTTTAAAATGCATCCAGTGACAAAAACTGATTGTAAGGCTCGAATTGGTGCAGCTGTACATTCTGACGGCAAATGGAAAATATGTTCAATTGTGTTTGATCATAACCATGAACTCAGTAGTCTTACCAAAAGTAGATATTTCAGAAGCAATCAAATTATACAACCATACGTAAAAAGAAAGCTTGAAGTGAATGATAGGGCTGGGATTAGGCCAAATAAAAATTTCAATTCCATGTTAGTTGAAGCAGGTGACGCTGAGAATTTGCCTTTCCTACAGAAAGATTGTAGGAACTACATTGAAAAAGTTAGGAGGTTACGACTTGGTGTTGGAGATACTTATGCAATCCAAAAATATTTTTTGAAAATGCAAAATGAGAATTCTAATTTCTTCTACATAATGGATTTAGATGAAGAAGGTCGATTAAAGAATGTTTTATGGGAGAAGTGGGGCTGCATTTAAAGAGTTCGATGATGTTGTGACATTCGACACTACATATTTGACCAACAAGTATGATATGCCGTTTGGTTCTTTTGCTGGTGTTGATCATCATGGTCATTCGATACTGTTAGGTTGTGGGTTAATCTCCAACGAGGACACAAAGTCACAAAGACATTTGTATGGCTTTTTCAATCTTGGTTTGCATGTATGTTAAATTGCGCTCCTAAAGCAATAATCACTGATCAAGTTAAGGCAATGCAAAATGCAATGGAGATTGTATTCCCTGGTACACGACATAGATGGTGTTTGTGGCATATAATGAATAAATTGCCTGAAAAACTTAGAGGTTATAGTCAATATGAACAGATTAAGTTTTTTTTTTTTTTGCAAAATGCTGTATATGATTCATTGACATGTGAGGAGTTTGAAGAAAGTTGGAATAGGTTCATTGATAAATACAACCTTCACGATAATGATTGGTTGCTTGGATTGTACAATGGAAGACGACGTTGGGTGCCGACTTTTGTAAAAGATACTTTTGGGTAGGTATGTCTACTACTCAACGCAGTGAAAGTATGCATGCATTCTTTGATGGATATGTTAATTCAAAAACCACTTTAAAAAAGTTTGTAGAACAATATGAGAATGCATTGCGTGATAAAGTGGAAAAAGAAAGGGAGGCTGATTTTAAATCTTTCAAATCATTGATCCCTTGCATAACCACTTATGCTATGGAGAAACAATTCCAAGATGCATATACCACTGCAAAATTCAAAGAGTTTCAACAAGAGCTAGCTGCCAAGGCCTATTGTGATTTTTCTTCTTTCAAAGAGATTGGTTCCTATATGGAATCTATAATAAAAGAAAATGTTTTGGTTGGAGAGACTCACCATCGTGTTCCTTTTGTGGTTTGCTTTGATGAAGCAACTTGTGATGTTCGTTGTAATTGTCGATTGTTTGAGTTTAGAGGAATTTTATGTCGACATGCAATTGTGGTATTGATTCATAAGCAAATTTCTCATGTACCAGAAAAGTACGTTTTAAGATGTTGGAGGAAAAATATAAACAGACACCATACCAAGGTGAAGATAAGTTATAATAGTTAGAGCACCAATCTTGACAGACAACGATTTGATGAGTTGTCTAATTTATTCAGTGTTGTAGCAGATTTGACATCAAACAATGAGGATGATTGTAATATGGTGAAAGAAATGATCAATGATATGAAGAACAAATTGATGTCAAATAAAAGTGTCGGGATTGATAAAAGACCAAACATGTCAGGTAATAGTAGAATGATTTGTGAAGGTGGTGATGATACTTTGAAAGAAAGGAGTACTAATATTCTTACTCCACGGGCTGTTCGCAGCAAAGGTCGTCCCCCATTCAAAAGAAAACAATCAAAGGTTGAAAAAATTGTTCATAAAGTAAAAGGGAAGAAATTACAACAACAAGAAGTTGCTATGAGTTTGAATCCTGGTCTCACACTTGGATTTAATCAAGCAACTCAGGTATGTAATTCATTTATGTTTCTTTGTCTAAGTTGATGTTTAAATGTGAATTGTAGAAATGTATGCAGCCCAAGATTGTTATTTTAGAATAACATGTGGTTGAGTTCTTGTTGTATGTTGCACAGGGATCAAAAGAACTTGAGTTTCAAGAAGTTGGATGCTCATGTTCATTAGCTAAAGGGCAGCAGCTCCAGGTGCTTATGATTCTTTAGTTTTCTTATAAAAATCATGTATCAAAATGATTGTGTATGTATTTAACTGCTTGTGTGTGGTTTCATTGTTGCTTGCCATATTTTTGCTTCCTTAATGTGGTAGGTTAAGATTGGTTCCTGCATATGCTAGTGATGTGAATGAATTGCTCATGGATGGTGCATTGATAAATGATGCATGTCTTGGTTCGGGAGCACTAGAATTAACTTTCTAATATTGTATTAAGATGTTTATTAGCTGTAATTTTTTTTTTTTTTTTACCAGGTCTCCAACATTCAACATTAATTTCAGGGGGTTGGTGCAGGATTTTCTGGTGCTACAGCTTTGTTTTTGTTCTTTGCAGTATTGGAAATTTACAGATTTTTGGAGTTAGTGTAGTTTTTTGTGTGTTGGATCTGCTCTTGAGGTGTTCTAGTGCTACAGCTTTGTTTTTGTTCTTTGCAGTATTTGGGTATGTTGGTTGTTGTGTGATGGGTAGTGTTGGTGCATGGCCAAACAAAGGATTCTGGAGAGTTTTGTTTGGAGATGCAGCAATAGAAAACTACATTTTTGCAGTTTCTATAAGTAAGTTTGGAGCTGTGTAGTGCAGTGTTTTGTTAAGAAGATTGGCTGTTTGTGTAGTGTGTTCTGTAGTTGCAACTTCAATGCTGCATTTTGCTGGCTATTAGTGTAGTGTTTTTGGGGCATAATCTTTGTATAGATGATCTTGCAATCTTTTTGTGATATGTAAATACTAATCCATATTTGGAAGAAACAAAAAAAAAAAAAAAAAAAAAAAAAAATTCAATATGATATATACACACAATTTATTCATAATAACTTACTTTTTATTTTTTTTTGGGTAAACCCAATAATTTTATATAAGAATAAAAAAATTACAACATGGGAAAGGGGACTCCCCTTTAAAACCAAGAACCTTGGGCATTCCCAAGGGGCAAAACTACAAAAGATGCACAAGCTGGAAGGAAATCTCAAAAACAAAAAAGGTACAAACAACATGGACCACACAAGCTGTAACAAACACCCGAAGACTGCACACAGCACTAAAGGCAGAGAACAATTGCAGCAGCTTCAAAAATTGTACACACGCACAAGTTACACTAGTTGCAAAATCTCTTGGAAAGAGCAAACAAAAACTACAAAAACTGCTGCATCTTCAACCAAGCTATAGTACTCCCTCGGCAACAACACAATTACAGCATAATCCTCTAAAATACTGCATTACCCGCCACAAATCCTGTAACCAACAACCAAAAGCTACACAAACTGCAGAAAACTCCCAACAGCAAACACACACTGGACAGCCTATACAAACTGCAACAACCTTCTACAAATTGCACACACTGCATTACCCACCACAAATCCTGTAACCAACAACCAAAAGCCCCACAAACTGCAGAAAACTCCCATCAGCAAACACACATTGGACAGCCTATACAAACTGCAACAACCTTCTACAAATTGCACACACTGCATTACCCACCACAAATCCTGTAACCAACAACCAAAAGCCCCATAAACTGCAGAAAACTCCCATTAGCAAACACACTTTGGACAGCCTATACAAACTACAACAACCTTCTAGAAATTGCACACACTACAAAAAGCAACATCTCTCAAACCTGGACAAACTACCCAAAATGCATCAATCTCCTGGAACCTGCAGAAATTGCAAAAATGCAGTTTAGCTAGAGCTGGAGTTTAGACATCAACCAATCAAACAAGCAAACCATATATTAATATTGGCTTGTAAAAGCTAAAAGCAAAAAAGCTCCGCAAAATTCCTATTTTTTTTCCCTCTATTCTGAGACACTGAAAGGATTTGGGGCTGGTGGTAAAATGAATAATTATGTGGAGTATATGAAATAAATGCTTAATCATAACATGTAATAACATAATCAACAAATAAAAATAATCAGCGAGCTAACAAGCCAGAAGCTCATGGAAAATACAACCGTAATAGTATTGACTTATCAGTGCAGTTTTCCCTTCTAGAACTTCCAGTGTCTTAGACAAGGCATTATAGACAACCTCTTCTTCTGAAATGACAAAAGTTGCTTCTAAATCTGAATAAACCTGGAAACAAGTGTCCAGATACCGTTAAAAATGACTTCTCAGAACTAAAAAATTTCTATTGAAAATGAAAAAAAATGAGGATTCAAGAATCCAAATATACTTTTAATTTAACTAAGGAGTTTTAATGTTTACAGGAATTATTATAAAACTAATCTACGAGATTACAACTTCTTGTCAACAGTCAAACATTTCCACTACATTACCCAAATTTGCAATGGAAACCTAATCTAACATGGTCAAGGATCTCTCATCTACAAGAATTCTCTCTGTACATTAAAAACTCAGATACTTCACATATTTACAGACAGAAAGCTTCATAACTTTGGTACCATTGAGGAACTTTCCGGACAAGAATGTCACCATAAACATCACCCTGTCTCACATCCACAAACCGTTTACTTTTCAGCACCTGCAAAGTGGTTATATAAACAACATTATGGGTTCTGAATAACATTTTATGATTGAAACTTTAACATATTTGGGAAGGCTGGAGCTGGGACAAGTTTCTTTTTCAACAACAAAGGAAAAAATATAAAGCATTTAATTGAACATATGAAAACTTCGAGACATATTTCTAGACCAAATTTTCAAGTACTCCTAGAGGTCAACTTTCTCTTCATATCACATTTGTTATAAAGGGAGGACTTGAAGAATTTTGTTAACTTTTTAGAATAAAATCCTAAAACTGAAGAAGATTAAATTGAAGCAAAAAAGAATAGACCCTATAAGTCTTTCTATCAACAAAAGAAACAAGTTCCAAAAGAGATTTCCATCATGAATAACATGACAGAACATTGACTTATGGATCCTTTTTCTAAGAAAGAAACTTTAGTTAGTAACATACATATAGAAAAAAATAACAATAGTAAGAGCCCGTTTCGTAATAGGAAATTAGAAATTAAAAATTTTATTATCAAAATTTGAGATTGTGCTAGGTTGTAGATTTTGAAAACACGTTTTTAAGAATAAAAACAATGAAAATTCAAGAGGTGCACAAAAGCTGAATTGGTAACAGCCTCAAAATTAGAAATTCCAGAAACTACCACTTGAGGCTTCACCTTCTTCATAAGCTCCACCATCAAATCTAACTGAGGTGGTGCTTCAATTACTGTGAGTACATCAAATCTAACTGAGGCGAGGCATGGCGTGGTGGAAACTAGCGAGGTGAGTCATGGCGGCATCTGGCGAGGCGTGGAAACAACGATCACAGTTGGTTTGGCAAGACTCAGCAGCTTCTGGAGAGGCACGGAAACGACGGGAAGTCTCTAGTTTGTTGGCATTTGGTGAGGCATCGCGGCATCTAGCGACGCGTGGTGCGACAGCATTTGGCGAGACATGGAAAAGAAAATTCGGCTTTGGTTTGTCGGCATCACAGCGTGTAATGAATTTGGGATGGGATCTAAGAAATTTTTGGGAAATTTTGAGACATTGACTGTGAGATGAGAGGAAGAGAATGAGGGGATTTTCATTGCTGAATGAATTTGATTTAGGAGTCGATTCAGGAAGTGAAATTTAAAATATTATATTTATAGATATATATAATATATCTATTATTATATTATATATAATTTTTAGGAAAACTGATGTGGCAATTAAGTGATGTGGCAAGTGAGGTGTCATTTGCCACATCAGTTAGTACTTAGGGTTGTACATTCTCATTAGTGCAGATAGTAATGCTATCTACTAGAGTACAAAGTTAAATAATATTTTTCAAATAAAAATTTTACAATGATTGAGCACAATGCTAATATCAATTGATTAGAGAATTATTATATATTATACATATTCATTAATTATAACAATAAGATGTGTTGACCATAAAATCCATCATTCATAATGCAAGACATGTTGACTTAGGAAAAGTCATAAAAAAGACTAATAACCTTCAACAATTAGTCACAAAAGTTCCTAAAACATGCACTCATTTGTACAAAAGTATTTGATTTCAATGGAGCGAAAGTCAGCGTTAGCTCTCATTGGTGGTTTGGTAATCATCGGAGTTTTCCTCGATGTAGCAATCTGGTCATATGATATTATAATTTGGACAATCATGGGATTTCTGATAATCACCACTTTGGGAATTCTTATGCCTAAAAAATCAAGGATGACGTAAGCTTACATCAACGGAAACCAATCAGAGTTCAAAAAGACTTTGTGCCATTCAGGAGCTGCCATGTCGTCCAAAGTTAGAAAGGATACGGCTGTCATCAACTTGGCAGATTCAGGTTTGGTCTATGAGTGGATGAGAGCCGAACACCTGTCCAAGCCCTAGGAAACTTGAGGACATATCCTAAGTTATCAGCAATGGGATGCAAGGAAGGACTTGCACGACACCTGCCTACTTGCAGATTTGTAATCATTACCTTGAATTCCCCTACTATAAATAGAGGACTCCCCTTCTCATTTTCGGGATTCTGATAAGAAACCCACATTCTGATTGTAACCTTTATTTTTAGAGCAAAGATAACCTACGAGAAAGAGACTAACTTAATATTCTGTCTGAATAATCAGTCATTGTACCTCTGCTCACTGTTCGCTATGCACGACCTCTTGTAATATCTCATATATAAAAGAACAATGGATGTAGGATTTGCTTTAAGCATCCAAACCAATTTAAAAATCATCTCTTATCCATTATTCAGTCTTTGTACTAGATTTCTACAATCATTCACGTGTAATTTCTAAGACTTTCTTAGCACTTTGCACATGCGAGTCGTTGGTGTCAAAATCAAGCATCAACAATTTGGCGCTAGAATGAGGGTACGAGTTAGTATCCCCTCTTCATCAAGAATCTCTAATCAAAAGGACTGTGGTTTTGAAACCGAGTGAACTAGCCCCAACAACAATGAGATCCCCCGAGTACAAGATGACACTTCTTCCGAAGTACCTCCAATTCGTAGAGTACAGCGACAGATATTCCCTCAAGCTTGCAGCTCGACCAAGCTATGATGAGTTAGCTAGAAAGGTTCAACATACTCTCCAAACGGTTAGCCGAAGGCTAGATTGTTTGGATCAGGTTGTACCCCCCGATTCAGGCAAGGCGGTGCCATCGTCCAAGACATCTGTAGGTCACGTTAAAGCATGGAAATAGGTAAAAGCCTATGCCGTGTGCACTATAGTGTGTAAGGACAAGGGAAAGCAAGTGTCAGATAATGGGCCAAAGGGCTCAAAGGGACCAACAAATACTGGTCACGAAGTGGGTAGAATACTTGTGGCTTTGCGACTTGGCGGTATGTCGCATCATGAACCGTCCCACACCACATTGCATGGGCACCCCCATAAGAGCACAAGGCAGAGAGACTTCCATTATCACCGGAAGGATAGTGCTGACCATCACTGCAAGGAAAATGCCCACCATCTGTGGGTCGGTTCTGACTACCGTGGAGGTCAAGCTGGCTCTCCTAGCCATTTGATGTCTTTACATGGCTCCAACCAGCGTGTATCAAGGTATGTCAAAGGCTCCGGCCGAGGTGAGAAAGAGTCCGACCTGCGATTTTTCCTCAACCAT